GCTGCTCTGAGGAAGGGGATCCCCACTGGGAATGCTGCTCTGAGGGAAGGGAAAGATGGAAAGCTCCTTATCCCACCTCCCGGTGCCTGTGGAGCAGCAGTGCCGCGGTGATTCCCACAGCCATGATGGCGGAGCAGGCGCTGGAATCTGCTGGGGGGGGAGAGGGGCTCCTTATCCAGGGGGTGATTAACCCCCACCCCCATTCCCCAGCAGGGAATGCCATCCCAAGGGATGCAGGGACCACCCGGACCCCTCACCGCTCAGTGTGTGCAGCCCCAGCGCCGTCACCAAAATCTCCTCTTCTGTCCCCACACCGGCACCCAAAGTGCCCACATTCCCCACATCCGGCGCGCTGGGAAATCGGGGGGAGAGGGCTGAGGAAGAGGAGCTGGGAGCAGAGATCCCAGGGGAAACACTGCCCGGGGCTCAGCTCCTCACCACGTGCCAAGGATGGTGGGAAGCAGCAGCTGCTCCGGTCGATTCCCGCTGAGCATCGGCCCCACGAGGTTGTTCTCCACAAATTCCTGGGAATGAGCAGGAAGGAGCCTGTGGGTGCTCACAGCCCTCAGCACCACGAGCTCACTCGATCCCTGCATCCCCAGGGCTGGGAGGAGCCCAGATCACCCAGCATGGATTCACTGGACACCCTCAGACACCCCAAACCCACCAACATCCTGGGAACAGCCCCCCAGTGCCAGGATGGATCCGGGGGCGTCCCCAGCTGCCGTACCCGTAAGGAGAAGGGCTGGGAGAAATCCACCCGGGCACAGCCACGGGGCCGGCGCAGGGCCTGGAATGCTGCCCGGAGACACGCGGCCATCCCGAGGGGCTGAGGGGGCTGCGGAGAGACGGGATCCAGGGATCGACGGCGGGTTTAGGGGGATGCCACTGCCCAGGGATGCTCCCGCAGATTTGGGGGAACACCACTCCCCAGGGATATTCCCGGAGATTGGGGGGAACACCACTCCCCAGGGATACTCCCAGAGATCTGGGGGAACACCACTCCCCAGGGATACTCCCAGAGTTTTGGGGGAACCCCATTCCCAAGGGAAATCCCAGAGATTTGGGGGAACCCCATTCCCCAGGGATACTCCCAGAGATTTGGGGGAACCCCATTCCCCAGGGATAACACCAGAGATTTGGGGGAACACCACTCCCCAGGGATATTTCCAGGGTTCTGGGGGAACACCACTCCCCAGGGATACTCCCAGAGTTTTGGGGGAACCCCACTCCTGAGGGACACGCCCAGAGTTTTGGGGGAACCCCACTCCTGAGGGACACTCCCAGAGATTTGGAGGAACACCATTCCCCAGGGATAACCCCAGAGTTTTGGGGCAACCCCATTCCCCAGGGATAATCCCACAGATTTGGGGGAACCCCATTGCACAGGGATAATCACACAGATTTGGGGGAACCCCATTCCCCAGGGATAATCCCACAGATTTGGGGGAACACCACTCCCCAGGGACACTCCCAGAGTTTTGGGAGAACCCCACTCCTGAGGGGCACTCCCAGAGATTTGGGGGAACACCACTCCCCAGGGATAACCCCAGAGTTTTGGGGGGAACCCCATTCCACAGGGATAATCCCACAGATTTGGGGGAACACCACCCCCCATGGATATTCCCAGAGTTTTGGGGGAACCCCATTCCCCAGGGATAATCCCACAGATGTGGGGGAACACCACTCCCCAGGGATACTCCCAGAGATTCCGGCGAGCACCGGTGACCCCCCTGGGCCCCCTCTCACCGCTCCATCCCGCCCCGCTCCGCCGGGAGCCACGTCGTAGGCGATTCCCACCGGGACGACGCGCACGTCGGGCACGGCTCCGTCCCGCAGCGCCCGCAGCACCCGGAGCAGCCAGCGCCGGGCGGGATCCCAGAGCCGCAGCGAACCCGGGGGCTCCTCCAGGAAGATGACGAGGGGCTGGCGGCTCCGCAGCACCTCCTGCACGTACTGGGGGGACACTGGGAGTACTGGGAGCTGCCGGCACCTCCCCGAGCGCTCCAGGCCATTTTCCAGCCCCAACCGCACCTACCGCATCCAGGACAGCGCCCGGCAGCCCCTCATCCCGCTCACTCCCTGGCTGCGCCAGGCCCGAAGGCAGGAAAATCCCTCCCAGGCGTTGCAGCAGGGAGCTGGGGGGCAAAGACACCGTGGGCACACACTGCATCCCCCTGCAGCCTCTGGCAACATCCCACCCCGGCTCCTTACCGGAGGCCAGGGCTGATCCGGGCACCCACCGTCACCCTGGGGGCCCCGATGCCCTGCGAGAGGAGGAGGAAGGACAGGAGCGGCCCATCCAGCTGGGATTGCTGGCTGCACAGGAACACCAGCGGCACCTCGGGCTGCAAGGAACGATCCCGGCCTGAATTCCCACCCTTCTGGGCAATGGGAGCGCCCGGCCGGGCTCCGTACCGTCCTGGCAGCCCGCAGCACCATCTCCAGCTGCCCCCGCTGCAGCTGCACGCTCAGGAACAGACGGCTCAGCAGCTTGGGCAGCATCCAGTGGCACAGCCTGCAGGAAAACTGGCAATCAGCAACCCCACGGGCATGGGGCGGCCCCCAACCCCCAAACACTCCCACTCCCCTGCCTCCCCTGCCTCACTTCCCACAACCCAGCCTGCCCCAAAATTCCCGGCGCAGCTCCCACAAAGGCAAATGCCCACTTTTATCACACAGCAAAGGTTGGATGGGATGAGACACCTCCTTTCCCCTGGCAACCACAGCTGCCATCAGTTATCCCTGCATTCCCCCCCAAAAGGATCCCAACATGCCCTTATTCCCTGAGCAATTCCTTCCCTTTAAGGCCTTGGAGGGATCATTTATTCCCCCTGGATCAGACCAGCAAGGAAGCCCCAAATTCCCACTTCTCAGGGACAGGAGGGGGAAGGCAGTGGGGAAGGGAAGGCTCCCTCTGCTTCCCACCCTCCTGGTGGGGTTGGATTTTCCCACTCCAGCTCCTCGGAAGGAATTGCCAGAATGGCCCCAGGAGCTGTGGGGGACCCCGAGGGCAGCTGGCCAAAGAATCCACGGACAGCTCCCAAGGGATCCCAAAATATTACTCAAAGGATCCCACAAGATCCCACCAAGGAGCCCAGAAAACCCCCAAGTCAGCCATGTGCATCCTCCCAGAAGCCCAGAGGACCTCCCAAAGGATCTGGATCCATCCCCCACAGAATCCCAGAAGATTTCCCCAAAGGATCCCTGACCTCAGCAGGAGAGGGGACAGCGGTGCCTGGATTTCCCCCAGGATCCCACAGATCTCCTCCTTCCAGTGCCCCCGGGATCCCTCATCCCCTCCGCATCCATGGGCCCGGCTGGTGGCAACATCCTGCACCCTGGGGGGGAAGGGCAGCGGGGAGCACCCTGGGATCCCTGGGGAGGGATCCAGGGAGCCTCGGGGGCATTCCCGGCATCCCACTGACCCAGGAGCCAAGGACCAAACAGGATCCCCCAGGAATGGGGGCCTGCCCCTCCCAGGCTGAGGGTGATCCCGGGATCCCCCCAGTGCTCCCACCCACCTCCTGCTGCTGCAGATCTTCCCTGGGAGCTCCCTGGTGGTCTCTGATGGAATTTCCCATTCCCAGGCGGCCAGGAATCCACAGACCCTCCGGACCAGCCACCCCCGGGACCTGGAGGGGACACACAGGGAGAACTTGGCAGGGGGGGCTTCTCCAGGAGGATCACCCCCCCAAAATGCCTCTTTCTCAGGATTTGGATTTATCCCCGTTTTACAGTTAGGAATTTGGAGGTGATGCTCCAGGCCGCCCAGCAGGAAGGAAACCTGGCATTCAGGCCATCCCAAATCACAGATTTTTCCCAATCCTCCCCAAATCCACAGAGAGCGGGGTGGGACGCAGCTTTGGGATGTCCCAGAGCGTGCAGGAAGGGACAGAGTGGGACGGGGGAACTGCATTCCCTGGGATCCCAAGGGATTCGTCTAAGGGTTTCAAAGTTGGAGCTGGGAATATTTGGAGCTGAATGGAGGATAATGATCTCATGTGGGATAAAAAACAGCACACAATGGTTAATCCAGGGATTCTTCCCAAAGGGGAGAGGAGCCAAAGGGATCCGGCACCTCCAGAATGAAAAATTTCCAGAAATGGCTCCGGAGCAGCTCCTGGCCAGAGTAGAGCAGGGATACCCAGAATTTTATTTTCCTGGGAGTTTTCCTCCCTCCAGGGGAGGAGGAAGAGCAGGAAGGGTTAGGAAGTGGCTCTTTTCCCTTTTCCCAGGCAGCCAGGCTCACTCCAAGCGATGCCGGCTGGAGCCAGCGAGAAGAACAATCCCCCAACTCCACCTTCTTCCCATCAAGGCTCCAAGTTTGGCTTCAAGAAAACAACGCATGACCCCAAATCCTCCAGTCCATGGCTGGACCACAGCCCAAGACCTCACAGATGCCACTTCCAGCCTCCCAAAATACGATTCATGAGCTCGGTTTGGGATAATTTGGGAGCGGGGAGGATGGAGAGGGATTCCCATGTGGATTTGGGGGAAATCTGGGGAAAAGGGCAGTTTCCCAGGGGTTTTCCAGCACGCAGCTGATCCAGCCTCACCGTGTGTCCCTCTCCGTCACACGGCTGACGTCACGGAATCCAAGAGCGGAGAGATCCTCGGCATAGAATCCATCCTGGGAGGAAAAGCGGGATCACATCACTGGCAATGGGGATCCTCAGCACGGGGAGCCTGTCACCACCATCCCCCGATCCCAAACTCTCTCACCCAGCTCCTGGGGGTGCAGCTCTGGCAGCAGCGCCCCGAAACCGGCCGGTGGTATTTTCCCAGGAACGGGATGGAAACTTCCAGGTTTTGGTCTGAATTGCTGATCCAGGTTTTCATCTGAGGAGGGAAAGAGAAACGGGAAGGGGGAGGAAGGGACAAACCCTGGGAATGTCAAATGTGGGTGGATACACCCCAAAACAGGCTCATGATGTGAGGTATCCTGATATTGGGCAGCAAGAGAGGAATTTTAGCTGGGATAAACTGGTGTCACACCTTGGAGATGTGTGGGACACGGATCAACCCACATCCCGTGTGATCAGTCTGGATCTGGGGGGATCAGCAACCGGGGCTGTGGGGCAGTGGGTTCTCCAACCCTCAGAGACACGTTGGGTACCCAGATCCAATGGGATTAACGCAGGTCCAGTTGGATCGGTTGGAAATATGGGCATGAGGGGGGGCAGTGAGATCCTGGGGACCCCAGAGCCCTCGTCAGCCCCCTCCACCCCCACATCTGGAGCCATGGGGTGCCTTGGAACACCAGCATCCCAACCACCAGCCCCCCAAATCGGCATCACCCCCTCCCTTTCTCAGGGGTGCAGGTGAGGAATTTTATTCCCTAAAAAAGGAGGAAAAAAGAAGCAATTTGGGTTTAAAATGTCGCCGGGGGGGCAAAGAGGGCAGGAAAAGAGGTTGCGGGGGGGGACCCTGGTGGGGTTGGGGACCCCCAGGATGGGAGGGATTCAAGGCGGGAAGGGGCTGGTGGCAATGGGGGGTCCCCGGGGTGTCAGGTACCTTGGGGGGGTGTCACAGGTGGGGGGACACTCCCAAACCGGAGAGAAGAGGTGCTGGGGCTTGAGGGTCCTGGGAAAAATCCTGGAGACAGAAAGGGGTGGAAAATGGGAATTTGGTAGGTTTGGGGCACAGGGAGCAGTCTCTGGGAGAGGGACCCCCCGTGTGCCCCACAGGGAACTGGAGAGGGGGGTAACACAGCCACACCCCCCACAGGGATTTGGGGGTAGTAACACCCCCCATCCCACAGGGATTTGGGGTGGGGCAGCACACCCCACATCCCCTATAGGGCTGGGGGGTAACACACCCCACACGTGCCCCCCACCCCACAGCCCCTACAGGGCCCGAGATGGGGGGGCAGCACCCCCCGCACGGGCCCCACAGCCCCCAGAGACCCTCTGGGGGGAACACACCCCACCCGGGCCCCGCTGCCCCACAGCCCGGGGGGATGTGCCCCAGCGCCCCTCTGCAGCTCTGGGCGGCCCTGGAGCCCCCCCGGCCCGGGGGTCTCGGCCCCACAGGCCCTGCACGGCTCGGGGGCTCACACGCCCCACACCCCCGGACCCCCGGGGGTCCCCCGGCCCCGCTCACCGCCGGCCCCGCCGCTCCGGGCCCCACAGGCCCCGCTCCGCCCCCGGGGAGCGCCACCGGAACCGGCCCCGCCGGAACCGGGACCGCCGGGACAGCCCCGGCCCGGGCTGGGACCCCCGCGACCCCCGGGACCCCCGGGACAGCCCCGGCCCGGGCTGTGATCCCCGGGACCCCCGGGACCGCCCCGGCCCCGGCACGGAGCTCAGCCCCCCAGAGGTACCGGCAGGTCCCCATCGCCCCCGTCCCTGGTCCCCAAGCCCAGCCCGGTCCCAGCACCCCCGGGCACAGCAATCCCAGCCCCGCCGGGGGGGCCCTGGCGCGCCCCAGCCCCATCAGCCCCCCAGCCCCGCTCCCCAGCCCAAGGCCCCCCAACCCCAGGGCCAGCAGCCCCAGCCCAGCTCTGTCCCCCCACAGCTCCAAACCCCACCAGCACCCGCAGCACCCCAAGGGGCTCAATCGCCCTGAAAACACCCAAAACCGCCCCAGTTCAGCTGCTCCGGGGCTGGGACCTCGCACCTGTGGGAACGCACCTGGGGCAGCATCCGGGAGCTGGGATAAGGGAGGGGATAGAAAGGGCTGGGAAAAGTGGAAAAACAAGCAAAGGCGAGGAAAATAGGGTAAGGAAGGGAGGATAGGAAAAGACAAGGGAAAAGGGGGGAAATTAAAAAAAAGTTTGAAGGGGAAGAAGGAAAGGTAAGGAAAAAAGGAGAAAAGATGAGAAAAAAGCAGAATAAAAGGGGAAAGGCGAGAAAAAAGCAGAATAAAAGGGAAAAGGCGAGACAAAAGCAGAATAAAAGGGAAAAGGCAAGAAAAAAGAAAGAAACTGAAGGAAGAAGGGGAAAAGGTCAAGAAAACAAGACAAGAAAAATGGGGAAAGGAAAAGGGGGAAAAGAGGCAAAATAGGGGGAAAATGAGAAGTATTGGACAATTAGAAGGAAAAGGGGGGGGGAAAGAAAAGACAAGGAGAAAGCAAAAGAAAATGCCAGCCTGTGGTGGTTTGACCTGGGCTGGAGACCAAGTGCCCCCCAAACTGCTCCATCCCTCCCCTCACCTGGACAGAGCAGAGGAAATACAAGAAAAGGCTCCTGGGGTGGGATAAAGATGGGAGGGGTCACTCACTCCCCCATTACTGTCACAGGCAGAACAGACCCGACTTGGGGAAATTAATTGAATTTGTTAGCAATCAAATCAGAGCAGGGGAATGAGAGGTCAAACAAATCCTAGAAACACCTTCCCCCACCTCTCCCTCCTTCCCAGGCTCAACTCTATTCCCAGTTCTCTCCCTGCTGCCCTCCATTGGCACAGGGAGATGGGAATGGGGGTCACGGTCAGTCCACGCCACGCTCCGGGCTCTGTTCCTGCCCCTGGGCACCTGCAACCCCCT